AGACTAGAAATCTTAAGACACTAACCATATAATATATTTAGCAACGATATAGCCTTCCAAGTATTTGCTGTACTGGAAGTAGAAACTGATGGGCATATCAAAATGAAAAGCAGAGTTTTGTTCTGAGATGCTGATGAACGAGCAGAAACTTCATGCACGTGAGTACTGAAACCACTATGAGGCAACTGCAACCATAATGGAGACCAGAGTTCTGTGAGATTGCAGAAAAGGGTTATCTAGTCCAACCAGACTGTCAGGAGTTAGGAACATCTTCCTGAAGATGACAACTGATCTAATCTTGAAAATTAAATAGGACTTAAATTTTTGAAAAAGGGGAAGTGGATGAAAAGCAGTTGTTCCAGGCAGGGAAATAGCATGTCCTGTAGGACCCAGGTCTGTGAAAGCAGAGTGCTGCGAGAAGCTACAGAGGGAAGAGTTATAGCTATCGGACCGAGTCAGGAAGGGAGCGGTGGAAGAGCAGGAGGAGAAAGTGTCAGCATGGGAGATCCTGGGCTTAACCTGCAGATGGGTTGCTTTGGAGTGTTTTAGAGAGTTTAAACTTTCAGAAGTCCCTGTGAGTTCCTCAAGTGACTAACAGAAGAGATGGTGCTGGGGTGGCTCTGGTAGCTTCCATAGACAGTCCTGCAGTGCTCTAGGGACAGAAGCATCTTTTTTGCCCATTAAGCAGAGTCTTGCTCCATGAATTAAGGCACTGTACAAATATTGGATCCAGATGTTAATATTTGGGAGCTATGTGGACAAAGGAAAGATTGTGAGAGGTGGTTTGTACAGCCCAGGCGTTCAGTGGTCATCTCCCAATTCCACTCTGGCACCCTATTCCCAGCTTATTCTGGATTCCAATAATGAATACATTTCTTATTCAGATGGAGTTGTTGTGACCATTCTAAGCTGTGTTTTCTTTATCTTTACTGTTATCAACATTGAAAGAACAGCAAAGAGTAAGTCAACTTTGTGGCATGCAGTTTAAGTGTTCAACATGTTTATGAACCACTGATTAGTACACATAAAATATTGCTTATATTAATTTCATAATCAAAATGATGACTCATTGAAGCTCCAATTCTTTCTGCCATCCAAGGGACAGGGGGAGTAGGCAGCTTTTTGCAAGTCCGGAAAGCTTCGTGAAGAGGCAAATCTCCAGACTGCTTGACTTTTGATTTCTCCCCCTCCATAACTGACATATGTGTAGCTAGTCTTCTGTATGTATTTTTATAAATGCCTTAGGAGGATGGAAAGATGAAAAGACACACAGAGGGTTTAAATATTGACATCAGCTGGAGTCCAAAGTGAAGGAAAGCAGGTGACAATAAAACTCATTTTAGCTACGGCAAGGAAAACCAAGCCATCTTGCTGCAATGAGAGGGAGGGTCTGGGAAAGAGCTCAGACACAATTAGATTAAGTTTAGAACCATTGCCTGGTAGAGTATAAAAAGAGCCATCCATGAACAAAAAAGGGAAAAGATTTGACAGAACTGGGATTCTATTCATATAAAATAGTGACTGCTAACATGCTATGAATCACTCTCCTTAGTTTATAAGCAAGGACACACAGGTAGACAGAGAATTCTAACTGGCCCTGGGCCACGTAACAGAAAAGCTTAGGATTGAAGCTCAGAGTGTCTTGATCTTGGAGCCTAAACCCAGGTTCTGTTCTGAATCAGGCAGTTGAATGTACAGCTCAGATAAGACCTACATTTCGTTCTAAGTGTTTGTACCATGTTTGTCAAAACCATCTTGGTAATTTAGTGTCTTTAACAAGCCACTCTTTACCCTAAAGTCTTTTATAATGATATTTTAAGAATTCAGGGTAAGAACTACTTTAAAGAACTGACCGACAGACAGGCAGCGGTGGCACATGCCTTTAATTCTAGCACTTGGGAGGTAGAGGCAGGTGGATCTCTGAATTCGAGGTCAGTCTTGTCTACAGAATGAGTTCCAGGACAGTCAGAGATACACAGAGAAACCTTGTCTCAAAAACCAAACGAACAAACAAACAAAAAACAAAGAACTGATCAACAATGTTCCCTTTGAAATTATATTGGACTGGGGTTTTGTGCTTTCCTGGTATAAGTAGCATATACATCTAAAAATGACTTTATCTCTTTTAATGATGTATTATTAGTAATAAGCTATTATGTGTTGGAATATTAATAGAGAATGAAACCATGCTCCTTTTTTGATTTCTAGTAACAAACATAGTGTTTATTTTTGTTGAAACAAATTTGTTTGCTGATCAGCCAGTGACTTATTTTCCTAGATAGAATTTTCAGATAGCCAACTCAAAATATGCTGACCTCATTAGTACTCTACATAGGAGCTCTATAACTCAGGCATTCCCCTAAGCCCACCTTGAAGACCGTAAGTGGAGTGATATGCAAAAAGCACCACATTTTCCCCTGCTTATGCCTCTTCAGTTTCTCTTTTCCACCGTAAAAGTGGTTGGAAGGTGAGGCTGGAGTCATGCTGACTGCTCTTTTTCATTTCATTTCGATCTCTTTTTCTTGCTTGGTACCTATTAACTTCACTACTTCTCTGAGAGGAATGTCAGAAAGTATGCATCTCTACTGTGCCAACATGGGTGGCCTTGCCCTCCCCTTCACACACTGTCTTCTAAGGTTTTGGATGAAAGCTGAAGATGAACTGTGGAAGTGTCCTGCAGTTTCTGCCACCACAGCAAGCCAGGCACCTCCGCCACAGGTTTGACCTTTTCCTTTTCCCACAGTCAAAGATGCTAATCTTTTATCCCTCCCTCCCTGCCTACCATGCACACTTCCCTACACAGGACGTGGTTGCTGTGGTTTTCCTTTGGAGATATTTCTCACTACAAATGTGTCCAGAGAATCCTAACCCAGATGACAGTAGCACCATTAATTCAGCCTTCGGAAGCATAAGGCTATTTATGGAGGGTTTGCTTCTCTTCAGTTCCCGTTCTTACCCAATTTACTTATATCTTCTTTCACATTTCGTTTCAGTCCCTGAAACCTCACTTTTTCCTCAGCAGATTGTTTACAAGGGAGAGAAATAAAGAGAGAAGCTTGTTATAAAATTATGAAAGTGATACATAAATCCTCCTCTGGTAAAATAAGGCTATCTATAAAACTATATCTGTTCTTATGTTTGCTGTTGATCAGTACAAATCATATGTGCTTTTTAAACAAAATTTTGTTTTCATAAGCAGATTTGTATCATTTTAATAAAACCTTAAAATCTAACTTAAAATAATTTGTCTGGTTATAATTTATGCTACTATAACTGCTAGAATTCTGAAAAGCTCCAGTTCATGCTCCTTTACCTCACCCAAGAGACATCTCAAGGCTATGTTACTTTACTTACCGCCAAGTTTTGCCCTGATGGAACTGTCTGGTACTTCCCTGGAATTCCATCTTCTGCTCTGTTGTAGCTCTTCTGATAGTACCGTTTGCCTTTTGATTGTTGTTTGAAATCCTTTGTCTGGCCTCGGAACTCGATTTTGAGGTTTTACATCACTGAAACTCACCAGGTTTGGTATGGTTCTGCCAATGCCAGGCTTTAAATCAGCATCAGCACCAGGACTCAGGAATCCTGAGCAGGGATCACCTAAGGGCACATCATCACGAAGTGGAAACAGTGGATACTCCTTTCCATAGGGTGGGGGATAAGGGTAGTGAAAATGGTAATCTGGCAGCACTGAAGTGGGATAAGGATGAAATTTTAAAAACACAGGGTTGCCTTTATTTTCAAATCTGCCATAGTTATGTCTGTCTTCGAATCCTTTCACAAAGGGCATGTTCATTTTCCGTAAGAGATCGCAATAGTGCGGGTAATCTGGATGCTCCAGAGTCCTTGCTCCTGACAAGACGAACCTTTTAGGAATACTTATCTTTCCGGGTTTGTTCTTAACCTCCATATCCATGGAATCTCTCATCATTTTTAAGGATTGCAAATTAAATTCTTTTTATAATTCTTTTTTTCTTTAGCTATTAAGAGCCCATATTTCCAATAGCAGGAGATTAAGATTAATCTAGCATAAAAATATTAATTCAATTTTCTAAATATTAGTGTTTTTTAATCTCAAGGTATTTTTTTTTCTGCTGAAAGAGAGATAGGGACATACAGAAATAGTGCAGAATAAAAGAAAAAAAGAGCCTTTGTTGCTTGGCAACAGGTAGAACCATAACTCATGGAACTTCTTACTATGTGAATCATAATGTATTTCTTAGGAACCATCCCCCAAAAGTGCTAGTAATATTTCTTTTACACTCTTTTCTCCAATACTCAGGAAACTAATATCATATACATATTTACATATAAATACAAATATGTATTTTTCATGTTTATATTTTGTGGATAAGAATCACTTAAAGAATATACTGAAGTTGATCTAGTGAATATACCACATATACAGTCTCTCTCTCTCTCTGACATACAAACTAGAACTAAGTATTTAGCTGATATGTGATAAAATTGGTATGTTTAATTTAAACACACTGTAACAATGAACATGCATTAATACTCATTTTTAAGGAAAGTAATTCAGAAATTATAGCCAAAGTAAAGGTGCATCCTTATATAATTAAAATTATCCTCAGTTTCCTTAAGGACACCACAATGTCCAGAGGGGAAGCAATGAGGGTTTTTATGTTATTTCAGTAAATGGCAACATATATAAAAAAAATCCGTTTAGAATAATAAGTGTACCAGTCCACTTAAGAGCTGTTTTTAAATAGACAATTTGGTGTGTGAAAACCACAACTAAATTGAAGTATTAGAATTTGAGGGATAAAAATCCACACCTTCCTTAAATGAATCAAGCAAGCAAGCCAAAAAAAAAAAAAAAAAGAAACAAACAAAAACAAAGCAAGCTTGTACAATATCCAGGAACAGAATATATAAATCAGATCAACTGTAAGGTAGTTTGTATAAGCAGTGGCCACGCCCACCTTCGATGATGTTTGAAATTTAGAGATATACCACTAAACAAGAGGTAAAATTGAAAATAAATGGTTAAGTCTTTCATTCAGCATGAGGTCCTGGACACAGTATATCCAAAACATGAAGTCAGTTTTTAATTCACCCCATACCGCTCATTTCTTCATATAAAAGACTGTTTTTAGTTGTTCAAAATATTTAAGATTTATTTCTACCACAGCTCGACTATCATTAAATGCATCCAAAGGCAGAAAAGTGGAGTATGATTCTCTTTCACCTTAAAATACACTCTCACTATAAATGGCCTCTTAGCTGGTTTGGTATGTTTTCCCGGATTCAGGTTCTGAAAGGTGATCTTCCAAGCTGAGTCAGTTTCATCTGGGGTCATTTCCTCTGTTTTCCCATCATGTCATCTGTTTTAGGCGAAACCTTTAATCCCTCCTAGGTGTTCACTGCATCTCTCTTCCATGAAGTTCCACATACTGAGAATGCACAAGATGTTGGCATTACTATAATCATATAGGTTACTTCATGAGACCTATACGTGCCTTGTCATTAGTTCTCAGGGTCAGCAGTCATGAGTAGGCACCCAAAGGCTGAAACTCAATACATTGCCAGGGTAGTCAGGAGGGTTTTCCTTTCTACCACAGACACCAGGGAAAGGCCAGGGTTAGAACTCTGGGGCACAAGATTGTTCTCCTAGCTTTGGAATCTCTGACAAGCCACTTCGGTTCTGGCGGGTTCCCTCAGGGGTGCGGTGGCCTCAAAGGCAAAGGAGCCCCTTGCGGATCGACATCTCCTGCCTCCCGTGCACTCCCCAAGCCAGCTCCCAGGCTAGCACACCTCCCGCAGACGGCCCGAGCGGAAGCGGCGGCGTGTCCGTCGGTCCGTCCTTCCGGCCCGCCGTCCGCCAACTTCCGGCGGCGGGTGGGCGCGCGCCAGGTAACGACCTTCGGCGCCGAGGCTCGGCTGGCGGCGGCGTGTGGATGGAGGCCTTGGCCCCGGGCCGGGCTCCGCGGGGCCGGCGGCGGGCCGGGACTGAGGGCTCCGCGCTCTGGGCGCTGTCGGTGGCCGCCGTCCTGCTCTCCGCCTTGCTGCGGGCGCCCCCTGCAGGTGAGGCTCGGCGCCGCACGGAGGGCGCTCCGGCGGCCGCGGCTCCTCACGAGAATTGCGTTGGGGCCCGAGTCACGTGACCCCGTCCCCGTCCCACCAAGCGGGGGGGCCCCCCATGTGGCTGCTCCTGCACCGGGCAGCCTTGGTTCGTGTCTGAGAACGATAGGGAAGATCGCGATGGGAACGCGAATGCGAATGAGGCCTAGCTGCAGGAGATTGTTCAAATGTGAAGCTTTCATTGAAAAGTGCCTCAATAAACTTAATAAGTTCGCGGGTCACCGCCCACCTTGTGTTTCAGAGCGACCGTCTATAGTGATGTATTGTGCTGGACCTGTGCTGTCACCCCAATGAGCTTTTGAAACATCTTTGGTGGTGGAGCGCCCTCTGTTGGCTCTAGATGTAAAATGCAGGGTGTCGCTGGGGTTTTGGAATTTAAACCCTTCTCACAGTTTGAAAATATATTTATACTGGAGAAAGAAAAGAAAGTTTACTAGCTTTGTCTTTTTTAAAGTAGAAGGCTGTGGTTGTATTTTGTGTGTGTTTTAAGGTGTAGCCTTACTACTAATAAGCTGTGTCCCAGAGATCCTAAGGCAATGTACTAAAGATAACACTTGTCAGAAGTTAAAATTTGTTCATATGAGGGAGAACCAAGGATACAAACGGAGAAGGAATGTGAAGAAAGGAATAGGGCGGAGTAAGGCAAGGAAAGGGGTGTGCTTGTTAGTATAACTTGACACAAACTATAGGCACTTGGGGATAGGAACCCTCAACTGAAGATTTGTTTCGACCCGATTGACCTGTGAGCATGTCCGGAAAGTATTTTCTTAATTGCTTTTGATGTGGGATGGACCAGTTCTCTGGGAGTGGTACCATCCCTGGGCAGGTTGTCCTGGGCTGTGTAAGAAAGCAGGCTGAACAAGCCAGAGGAAGGAAGCCAGCAAGTAGTGTTCCTCCATACTTCTACTAAACTTCCTTACTCCAGGTTTGGACTTGGGTCCTTCCCTTGGCTTTCCTGGGCAATGTATCCCAGGAAATAAACCCTCTCTGCACCCTCTCTGCACCCTGTCCCATGCTGATTTGGGGCATAGTGTTTATCACAGCAACAGAAGGCATACTAGGACGCGATAGGAGTGGGGGTATGACGATTACTCCTTATATATTATAAGGACCAGGTGTTTAGTGCAAAGATAGTTCTGTGAGAATAAAGAATTGTCTTTAATTATTCTGTCTAAGGAAGATGCATTTGAATATGGCTGTTGGCCTTATACCTGGTAATGAAAGATTGTGTTTTTGTTTTAAAATGTTGCCTGGCTTTCTTTTTCTCCAGTAAGGACTATCAAAAAACAGCACAAGCAATTAGTATCTTAGCGTGTAAGCTGTGAGGAGTAAAGGCTGATATTTATATAGCACTTCACAGCTCCTACAATAAACCTGTAAGGTTGGATTACTGTTAATCTCATTGCAGACAAAACCCTCCAACTGGTGGTTTAAAGTAACTTTCTTGGTTTCAGGATGTGGCAGAATTTCCAATAAGCTCTGCTCCAGCCTTCAATGCCATGATCTCCCCTTTTACTTACTTTCTGCCAAGCCTCTTTGGGGTTAATGCTTTACAGTCGTTGCATAGCCTTCCCCATTCATTCTGTCCCCAGCATCATGCCATAATATATATGCTCATCCAACAATGAAGGGAGACTGTCAAGATGCTTTTCATAGTTCCGGTTTTTAATAGTTTCCATGTTAAAGGTGAGGTGCTTGCAAATGGTTCTTGATAAATGGTTCTTGACTTAAACACTGGTGCTTCCATCAGTGGAGTTTGTATCAAGAAGGATGGTGTGCGTGTATGATTAACTGCATTCCGTTGTAGATTGTTAAAAGAGAGATGCCAGTTATTTTCCATGATAGCTGAGCAATGAGGACAGGAGAGGAATTTGATATGGGCCCTGTAAGGTGGGAGAGTATTGTAAGTAGGCACAGAAAGGCTGGGTTAAGATTTATAACAGGGGTAAGTCATAGGTATATTAAATTCTTTAAGGGGTATGCAGAGCAGTAGAGAACGTGTCATAGGAGACTGATTTATGCTCCTTGCAGTGGAGGCAAGGTATTCTTATTTTAATATTTTGAAATTTTTACAAGACAGACTTAGATCATTGTTTTCTTTTTGTTTTTCATAGTTGGACATTTGGCTCGATTGCCAAGAAGTTTTCGCTTGACTCAAGATTCACTGAAAATAGTTGGATCATCACATTTTCCTGGTACTCATGAATAGCTTTTCAGTAATAGAATGTTACTATCATCCATCTACAATTTAAGAGTCTGCTGAAAAGGCTAGTGCTTCCCAGTTACTCTGCTTCCCGAACTCCATTTAATTCTGTGGAGTTGAATAAAGTGGTTTCTCTGTAGAGCTGGAGTCAAATTCTGTGTGCAAAGAAAAGTTATTTTTAAAAGTTAACTAAAGTTTCCTGTAGTGCTTTTACTTGTAACAGATGCACGTCTCACTATGATATTAAATGTAGGAAGGTTAAATATGCAAAGATAATTTCATTTACGATCCAAATACCATAAAGATCTTGGATATATGTTTTCAGAGTATTCACATGAGACACAACAGCTGCAACATTTTGGGGATTTTATTCAGTTTATTTTATTTGTCATGAAATGCCTTCTTTAATGTTTTTTCAGTTTGTTGACAAGGTTGATAGCCAAAAGAACTCTAATTTCACACCACCATCATCTTATTAAAAAAAGCTCCTGTGTTCATTAAGCAAGTATTCCTAGCCCTGAACACTGCTAATACTTTCTGATGGATATTTGCTCTTCTGGGCTTAAGTAAAACTATGCATTATATGGCCTTTGTATTTACTTTTTGTGATACTGTTGAGAGTGTATAAATACTTCATTCCTTCTTATAGTTGAGTAACGTTCTTTTGTATATTAATGTTTGTATTGAATTCTCTTAAGTTTATTTTAGGAGAATAATTTATGGCTACCATATCAGTGATATGTTCTGTCTATAAAATCCTTTCCAGAGGGCTTCCCTTGTTTCCCTTCATAGCAGCAATGTATGAAGTCCAGACTTCTTAACATGCACACCAAACCTTGGTACTGTCAATGTATTTTTATTATCACCATCCTACTTGTGTGTGAAATGGTAGCTTATTGTGGTTTTGAGTTCCTAATGACTAATGAGGTGCTCTTCTCATATATATA